GTTGTGTTGGGTCAAGTGGTTCATAACCACTTGTTTTATATAAGAGGTACAAGGTTTGGATTCTCCCCTTTGCATATATTTTTGCAATTTTGTAAGCCTGCCACGTGTCGCAATTTGCCACATGGTCGATGACGCGGATACACGTGGTCGCCACGTCAGTTTTCCGTTAACGGCCGTTAAAAGCGTGTACCATTTTTCCAAAAATGTAAAGGTCATGTATTTTTCTGACAAAGTTTGAAAGTCGTGATTAAATTGTCAAACACGTAAAAGTCGTGTTAAAACCTGCCATTATACCTTTAAAATGATAATCTTACATAAAAAAAATTCACCGTCCCTCTCACTTTCCATAGAATTCTTTGTAAAATTAATACTCTCTCTTTTTATTTTTATTTTATTCTTTAGTACTCTCACTTTCCATAATATAATTTCTAATTTTATTTTATTTTTTATCTTTATTTTTTATATTATTATATAAATTATTGTAGTTCTACTTTTTGTAAAACATAATTTCTTTTAATTACCCATGTATTACACGGGTGCTATACTCAAGATCGGATGTTTATAGGCCGACACTGGAAAAAAAGACTTATATATGTATCTTAAGCCCATGTAATATTTCCCATAAAAAATATACAAATTTAATATAATAGATGCTTTAATAAGGGCTGACAGAATTCAAGCATGCAAGAACGAAGGTGAATAAAAAGAGAAAAAAATAAAGGGAAAAGGAGAAGGAAAAGAGAGAAAAAAATTAAAAGAACTTATTAATATTTGTTTCAATTGTTCGAGAAGACGACTTGCGAGGTAACAAAATCTGATGGAGATTAATTTTTTAGGTAGTGGCAAACATATTCTTTTTATGTAAAATTTGCAAATTCAGTCTCTAAAGTGCTCATAGCTCTTTAAAGCGTGACGAAATCGAAAATTTCATTGATTGTAAACATATATCGAAAATTTCATTGATTGAAAACATATGATATTATTTATTATATAGCAGATATGGAAAGATATTTTTAAGAAAGGCCCCGTCAACAAAGTGTTTGTGAAAATGTCTAAAAAGGAAGATACTTTGAATTCAAATAGACTAGTACAACACCCGTGTATTACACGGGTACTTGCTAATTTTTTTTCTTAAAATC